ATACATAAAACCGTATTTATCAAATTCCCGTGCAAGTAGCGGCAGTTTAGCATGGGTGATTCGGTGACATCTCCGGTGGTTCTAGCGGCAGCTCCCCATTATTCCTCCGGGTCAATCTCCGGAGTTTGCAGCGCTTTGGATAACAGACTGCGAACTGCCCATTGGAATTATGATCATCATGAAAGAGCAGGGATAAAGAAAACATGTCTGTTCGACTGCTTTCGACCTGGATGCAAGTCGTTCAAATGGCTCTGCAAGCAAGCTCTGCTCCTCAGCCATGCTACCAGGCAAGAATCCAAAGTCAACTAAGGACCTATTGTTTGAAAGATGCAAATCTGAGAACAAATCAATGACCTTGTGGATGGTAAGAGGTAGATGATTTTCAGTTGCCTTCTGTGCGTTGTACGATTACAAGGCTTNAAAACCAGTTACATATTGTTTAGATGACAAGCTTAGATTTACAGTTTAAACTACGTTACCTGAGTGGTTCGTCAGATCTTNGAGTTGGCGTGCGGGGAACCTTCCCGCAATCAATTTCCAGAATCGAACTACAGCGTAACTCAGCACGATGGTACTGCAAATCTAGCCACTGGTCGGGGAGCGGGCCGGAGCCTATTCCGGGGTTCGCTAAAGTGAGTAATTACCAGTGGTGTATGGAGTACATGATAGCAAAAAGGGTGTGCAGCCGTGAATGTGAATATAGTTAGCATCGTAAACAGCGGAATAAATCGCGGACCACAGTAGAAGAGGAAAATAGCATAAAGCAAACATAACATTTCGGAGGGAAAGGGGCTTCGTAATGTGTCTACAGNATGCAAATCAACGAATTATATTTCAGCGAACATGAGATTCTTCAGCACTCTCCAGTGGGCTCTACCCCTCTCATGGTTTTGCAGCAGTGGCTTTGCGTCTACAATCACCCCAGCACATACAACCAGGGAATCAGCTCGGAATGCGCTTGAAGTCTTTAAAATTCCTAACAACGTCAACGTCACGCGATCAACGACTTTTCAAGTCAAAGTTCGGTCTACACAACACTCCGCGTGGCAAGAAGTGGAACTATTCGACACACCAGTCCAGGAAATCAACGCCACCACTGGGCACGCGAATATTCATCACACTTCAGTTGGCCTCTTCGATTTCAGTACAAGTGTGACGCTGTCCATATTTCCAGATTCCAACATCTTCTCATCCATCGACACT